GACAAAAATGTCCCTGCTATAAGGCCTGTTGATTAAAAAAAAAAAAGTACTTATTTGTTTTAAATGTCCGCCGCAATTATTGGCAGAGTAAATCCTACATGGTTCTCCGTTTAGCGCATTACTGTCTTATTTTTGTTTTTCAGTGCTCAACACAGAGGGCGTCCTGGTTTCACGGAAGACGCGAGTTAACCCAAGTTCTTTTCGGTTCGGGCCATTCCAGCAGCGGCGCTCGAGCGCTCACATTTTGATCAATATCCGAACTGGGACAAGAAGGAAGACGTTTTATGTAGGTGTTGTAAATTCTTTTTTGTTTCTTCTCCTTCTCGAAGTCTTAGACACAGTTTAAAATGTCTAACCTTCACTGACTCGCATCGCGCTCTGCAACTTCGTGCTCGAGAGTCCTGCTCGGCAGCCGCTTCTTGAGAGACCACAACGATGGCGGAGAACCGCATAGGCTGTCGGCGTTTGCCGTCAGTAAGACACCTAGGCTTCGGCGGCTACCTTGGAGCTTGATTTGCGCGACAAGGACCGAACGAACTTGGGCGTGATCTTGTTGAGGAGCACCGAGTTGCTGTAGGTGGGGCTGATGGGCAGGTAGGCGAAGGCGGCGTTCTCAAGACGTGCCTTCAGGAAGGGCAAGTCGTAACAGTCGGTCGTGCCGCTGCGACCACCACTGCCGTGGTGGCCGCTTCCAGCGAGTCCCCGCTCTTCGGCCGTGCCTGGGGAAATGGGCAGAATGATTTCGATCATGTTCTCTCGCAAGTATTTCGTAAGTTTCGGAGGCTGTCCTCTGAAGGGCTGTCAGTCGCCCCCCCCCCCCCCCCCCTTTTCCTTTTCTCCCTCTTTCCCTCTTAGGCCAGCATGTCATAAACGCTAATCGCTGAAGGAAAGTCTGCCTTACCTATGTTCTATAAATTTGGTGGCGATTGACGAGAGTGAATCTTTCTAAATCGTACTAACAAGGTGTTTTGTCACGTCTGCGGGCAAGATTGCACAACTTTCCATCCAAGCGGGATGAAGTGAAAAAACGTTGAGATTTTCTTTATCAGAAACTTACGCAATAAAAAAGAAATGCAACAACAACAAAAACAACAAAGGGACAAGGAAAGAACGTTGTCGAGGAATTGAAGAAAAGGAGCAACCGGATCGCAATGTCTGTCTCCGTACACCGGGACGTAGCTTATTCCGGTTGGGACGAAGATTGTTAGCGTGTGGACCGTTTTCAACGTTGACTTTGTTTGGGATTAGATTCGTTTTACTCTTTGTCTGTTTTGCAGGAAAGAGGGGAGGGGGGGGGGGGGGCGTAAAATGTGTGCCGACTTACCCGGAATGGTGTTGTCAAGGAAAATTCCCAGGAAGCCTCCAACGAACATGCTGGTACTGAGCAGGATGACGATCGTTTGATCTAACACATCATACCCTAGAGAAACGAAAAGACAAAACGAAATGGAACGAATCGTTAAAAACACCGGGTCTACTCTTTGAAAACCGGAAGGAGGGTGCTCTTCCAAATACACTGAGACAATTTCAAATAATGAAACATATCTCTATTTCATCGATCACGTGCGCTCCGCTACGCGGCACAAACTCGACAGTGGCATAGCTTGCGCATCAGACAGGCCATTCACGAGCGCAGATGTTTACCGCTTATGTTAATGTCCCGAATTAGCACGTTTCGCCATGCTAATAGGTTTGAAGGTCTCCTTTCAGTTCTGCGAGAAAGTTATAAAAAACCCGTCGGTTCCTTGTTCGCGCAAACTTTTTAATGCTTAACACGTCTCTTGACGCCGTCGTACTAACCTCCATTATAAAACCTGTGAAATCGACTCGCAAAATTATTATGGCAAACATTTTTTATGGTTTATTAAAATACTGCGTTTGTTTCCTACGGTTCATATTTTTCGAGAAAATCCTTTCAAGTTGCCGGCCATTTATTTATCCAGTGAAAGGAGACAGCATTTGGATACATATGAAAATATGAGGTGCAAGCTAAACAGATAGTTTATGATGTCCGTTGGTGCTACTGTGACTGCAGCCAGAGAGAAAAGGGTTTGGTCAGGGTGTTGCATCTTCAATCATGGAACCTGATTTCTCTTTAACCCAGGAAACAAAAATCTACGCGAAGAATAACCTATGCGATTTCTATCTCCGCCGTGAAACGCCTGCTTTAGGTCATATTAAATGGCCACACAAAATTAGAAATGTGAGCCCATCCGTCCGGGCACCGAACGTTCAAATTTAAAGCTTACTGCCCGAGTGGATGTAACGTACGATAGGTTCTTCATAGGTTGATTCATTCCATAGCTCACGATAATTGGTGCTTGTTCTTCGTGGCGACGCACAGGAATGAACTGTTTTATTGTACATAGCTGCCACGTGGTTTTATAAAAACAAAAAGGTATACATCTAATCACGCAGACGCCTGTTCCAGACGTCATGCCTTTCTAATTTATAGGTGTTAGCGTTTACCTAGCATGCACTTACAGTCAATATCAGGGGTTGCCAAAGAATTTCGAGTGTAAGGACCAACTTTCTGGGACATTCTGTGGAATAGAGCGTTTTCAAGGAAATATCCAAAATTATAGTTTATTTCCGTTTTATGATACACAGCTCCAATCTAACATTACGATATTTTCTCAAGAAATGCAGAAATGTAAAATTCTGTGAATGTGGCCCATAGGATTCAATGCTAAACAAATTGTAGAGCCGTGGAATAAAAACTGTACGTATCCAAAAGTTCCTTTACTGCTTACTCCTATTTCAGGACTGCCATCAAAAATATTTCCGGGGAACATTTCGATGCCTGTTGTTCAGTTGAAATTCTCATCTTAGTGCATGCACTGGGGCGTTGATGTCCAAGAAAGTTGGGGATATGGAGCGGCAGAAACGAAGGCCACACTCTAAAAAAAGGCCGTGCGTCTACTTTCCCGCACAACACTCGGAGAGCCAATCACCGCAACTTACGGAGGCAGCTCAGCGAATGACGATGTCGAAACCTATGTTTAGACCAAAAAACGCAGTCTGAGTTGTGAAATTAAGCAATGCAAAACGTCAGGCTTGCATTGCCTAATGTCGCAATTCAGACTGCGTTTTTTGGTCTAAACATATGTTTCGGCATCGTCATTCGCCGAGCTACCTCCGTAAATTGCGGTGATTGGCCCTCCGAGTGTACTGCGGGAAAGTAGACGCACAGGATTTTTTTTAGAGTGGCATGGTACGCCGGTAGAGGGTTGTTTCAGTGTAATCATAGAAAGGGTATGTTCAATGAAACACTGCTAAAATAACTACCATATTCAATTATTCGTTCGTACGTTATTCAAACAAAACAAAAAAATTTAAATCACTTCTTGTTGTGAAGCTTTTGTAATTGGAAGAACAGTCTCCAGTAAGGTAGTCCACAGTACGAGACAATTGGCATAGTTATCCACAACGCTAGCCAAGCAAACGGTATCAACTGTTCAAAACGGGAAGATTTTCTGCGAGGATTCATGACGGGCGTCTCCACTGAATGTGCCGGCCTGGAGACGCGAAAAATCAGTGTCGGGAGTTCTGTATAGTCTTCTCAAAGCCGCCGCGGTAGCGAGCGCGTGGATTTAGAAAGTGATCCCTTTATTTAAGAACCCTTGCGCACAAAGACTTCAGCAGAACTGCGCTCTCGCGCTTCAATATCGCAGCACACAACTTGTAGCATTTCGTACATGCGATAACACCATTAGACAAAAGAGAATATTCACGACTAAATAATATAAAAGTTTACTTACAAATGTATACTAAAAAGGAATGATTTTATCCTCAGAACAAACTACACCAATAAAGGACTAAAAGTTTGCACAGTGTATAAGGAGACATTATACGTGATTTCGCGGGGTGCCAGACCCGTCGCGCACAGGTCACTTGTCTTGCCCATTAGGCCATATGCAAAATTCTTGCCAGTTATTATGATTATGCCATTGGGAGCCGCCATATTGGAGGGTATATTCGATCCACGGCTTTGCATCAACGTCTCGTGCTGTTCTTTCAGGGATCCCTCAGGGCAGTGTAGTTGGCCCCACCCTGTTTTTGATCTAAATCAACGGGGTCACGAAAATCCTGCGCTCCACAGCAATTTTGTATGCCGACGACCTGACACTGATTAAGCCCCTAAACTCACCTCAGTCCTACCTCGAACTTCAAGCAGGCCGAGATGCATGCCACATGTGGTCTCTAAGCCGCCTACTCCCACTCAATGCTAAGAAAAGGGTGACAATGACACTGACCATAGGTACAAAGAGCCCGACTCTCCCGCCCCTTGTTTTGGCTCTGTTCCCCTACCAGTGGGTCCAGAGCACTACTCTGCTGGGGGTGAGTTTCGACAACCATTTGAGCTTCGTAGGCCACATAAGGGGCATTATGGCAAAGGCGCGTCGGTCACTAGGCTTTGTAACGGATGTCTCACGTGGCATGCCACCGAGCGCATTCCGGCACCTCTGCACGGGATTGGTGCTACCCTACCTAGGGTTTTGCTCACCTGTGTAAAGCCCCTTCCAGAAATCGCTCGAACAAGCCCTGGAGAGTGTGCAGCGGAGTGCTGCTTACACGCTGTACAGGCGCAATGTCCCCCGCTTCTCGCTTTCACCCTACAGGGACATATCTACGACAGCCCTTCTATTGGGCGCTAACTGGCACAGCCTTGCACACAGAAGAGATATGGCTTCCATCCGTCGCTTCTGCAACCTGATGGGAACCTCCATGAAGCCCTCAGACGCTCCTCGCTTCAACGCCCGCACCGGGAAGATGCAGCCTCTCGTGGCACGTACGCTGCGTAACCTCGAGTCCTGTTTGATGCATGCAGCCAGGAACTGGTGCTCTCTGCCCCCTGAGCTGACGGTAGACATTCGCGTTGACCCCGAGGACATTGTGGCTATCTGCCGGCAGGCCTCAAGTGTGTTCCCATAGATCTCCCTCTCCCACCTCCCTCGGTCTCTCTGTATTCATCATCATCATCACACCGTGACGTCATCGACAATTGTACAAATTCACGACTGTTCAACCTTGTATTGTGCGGCGTCGCAGACCTCTAAGGTATGGGCCATCGGCCTTTCTACGGCGTCACGACTGTCCTGAGCCGGAATGAATATTATTATTATTATCCTCCATCTGTGGACATGGAAATCGAGTTCAATGCATCCGCATTGAACTCGATTTCCATGATATTAGAATAATGAATTGTACGTTCAGTGGATACTAGAATAATAAATTGCACATTCAGTGGGTTGCTATTTAGCTACGGTGCAACCAAGAAAAGAAAAACGGCCATGGGATTCCGAAAAAACAAATGGTGAGCAGCGAGGTCGCAAGACTCGTCACTGAAGCCATGGACTGGACCATCCAGGTAAGTGAACGGTTTTTATCGAAGACGCTGCATGAAGGGTTTATGCTGGACTTTCAGCATGTGATCACATATTAAAACTACAGTTCCCTCTTTGCCATACCCAATGTCTCTCGGGCAAAATGATCGGTACGGGGATCCCCGAATATGGTGAAAATTTGGTAATTGATCGTAGGTACTCTATAGATAGCAGTTATTTGTGCAAATGGTCTGGGAGTAAGCGATTGTGAGATGCTCTCACCTGTCCTGATGGCTTCTGCGTTCCTGCTGGTCCAGTGGGACACCATGAGACCGAAGAAGAGGGACGAGCCCAACACGAATAGATTTCGGGACGAGTTGAGGTCGACGGTCTGTGCGCTGGACAGGCCGACGGCGGAGATCATGGAGAACATGACGCAGAACACGCCGCCGATGATCGGGTCCGGGATGGTGGCGAACAGGGCGCCCATTTTGCCCACCACACCGAAGGCGATCATGAACACGGCCGCCCATTGGACCACGGAACGGCAGGCCACCTGCGCAGCGCGTGGCTTATGATGTGAGGACGAGTGTCAGCCGAATGCGGAGGCAGTACTCGTCTCCAATCTGTGCCTCGCGGTAGCCTTCTTTGTCCACACACACACACACACACACACACACGCTTGCTCGAATCAAAATGATTCGATTAGAATCAACTCTATTCGCGGTTCCGGTTCCTTCATGCGTTATTCATAACTTCAGCCCACGTGCATTGAATCCCCTTTTCTCTGTTTCACAATTCGGCCACTACGCCACGCCAGTTTTTGCTGCACACTCGGATAGGCGGTAACTCCTCGCTCTTCTCCTTGATGTCTTTTCCGCTGGGTGGCGCCGCCTCCCTCGGAATAGAGAATAGGGCGGTTGCTCACGCGGCCTACTTCCGGCCCAGGGTCACGTAAGAATCCGTGCTGGCAACGTTCGCCCTATGTCTGTCGCGTTTGTGATCGACTGCGGGTGCCGGAGTCGTTGGAGACATAAAAGGGAATCGTCCGGTACCCGACTTTTATGCGCCTTAACCTTTTCCCTGCGTTGAGACGAGCCGACGTTACAGCTGTTTAGCGGCCAAAATGGCTCCGGCGGATGCCGCCGAGGCGACGCCTAAGAAAAAACAACAACCACCACAAGTAAACAAACGCACGAACAAACAAAACAAAGCCTTATGCAACCCAAATACGACTCCGATCAAGCTTCTTGAGTTCTGTCGAATACGGAGCCATTCGCCACGCTTCGCCTTTGAGGCCTAAAACGACGCCAAATAACTGATCGTCTTCACGCGAACGGATAGGAAAAATAGCTCAAGTGCCCACGCAACATGCAGAGCTCATTGAAAATAAAGAAAACGTTTCGCGAACCCCCCCCCCCCCCCCCCCCCCCCCCCCATTATAGTTGGTTGCAACATAAGATCTACTGTAGAAGCTGTGCCTTCGGCCAAAGCTTTCTACTTTCGATAACACTGCGGCGCTCGCGAAGCCAAAGCACGATAGAAGGCAACGAGCGCGGGCTGGAGGCGCAACATTTTCTGCATATCTATGTCGCAACAGTTTATAGTTTCTTTTTTTTTGTCTTTTTTTTTGTTTAGAGTGGTGAAACCATTAGGAGAGTCAAGTACCTTAATCCGCTGCGGCGCAGACGACGTTTCTTCCTCACATGTGACGTGTAACTTACATCGTGTAAAGTAGGTGACGCAAGCCGCATCCCTTACTATGGAACACATGCCCAGAATGTAGCAAAACGTTTGCTGCCCACACCTCCAATTTCGCCATAGAATTCGCGGTTTATTAGCGTATTATGAAGCCGTCTATTTTCAGGTCAGCTATTTTCCAAATGGTCCTGACAGCAGAGTATTGGACGGCCATCACCGTGACGACACATTCAGTATTTTCTGATAGGAAATGTTGCCGATCCTCTTAAGAGGGTTGATTTAACGAGGAATCGCAGGAGATCGTATAAAAACTGCGCGAATCCCAGAATAGCCAGAGAGTGGAAGAAAGTGCGTTATAGTTTACCCGTTTAGTGCAAAGAATAGTCAGAGAGCGACTAATTTTTGGGGTGTCTACCTGAATATATGGATAGTATTTTTCCCCCATACCTAGGACGTCTAGTCTTATTTGTCACCCAGGCTTTTATGATTTATTGGTGTAAGGAAGGATATCTCTAGTCCGCTTATACACAAAAAATGAGAATCCCCTAATTCCTTCCAAAAATTCCAAGGTTGTGGGGTCATCTCAGGACCGTGGTCCTAATAACATTACAATACGGTTTATTCAACCAAGCTGTATGTTTTCTATGATACGCCAGATCACCCCAAAACATCGTCTCCCAATGCCCGATAAAGCTGAGAATCCCAAGGCCAAAAAGTCTTCAAAGCTGCATTTTGAAATAAATGCTACGTCAGCGATAAAACCGCGCCTTGATGCAAAAAAAGAAAAAAAAGAAAAAGAAGAGAAACAATTTGAGTCTATCAAGAAGGGTCCCCCTTCGAAACGTCGCGGTTTCTGTATAACTTATACATGTTAAAATAAACCTTCCAAATTTGTTTGACCCTCGGTGGCTTCTACTTCTCTCTCTCTCTCTCTCTATATATATATATATATATAAATTACTGATACAACCAGTGCTAGTTTTACGCCATATTTCTGGGGCCATCCGTAATACATGACATATTTCACACGAAATACAGCACAATTTATTGCCTGGACTCAATTCTGGTCGTATTTGTATAACTTAAATGACGTTTGGCATAATCTTCAAAGCATTTTAGTTCTATAGGAACATCTTTCTTTTTATTTTCTCGCTCTATATTTTTCTCTATAATATATATGTATATATATTCTTTTAGATTACCATTATTCACAATACCCACGACCGCAGTTTTGTGTCCTCGGGTCATGCAGCTACGCATAAATAAAATTAATCATACACCGCACAACGTCGGTTCGCCAGTCGTATTTTTGCTTTTCTGGTTTCGGTCCCGACAGAACCCTCAGGATAATTTATGGGGTTCCCCGGAAGCCGGTCTTCACTGGAAATATCGACCCATTTATCGCTCTATTCAAGAAGGCCGGCACTCCTTTGTGTAGCGCGTTCTTAATGGTCGAAGGGCGATAACAAACTCAGCATGTGTACCGATTTGCTATGGAACCCCAGTTTTGGCCATGGTGAGTAAGGCACTTCGAAAAACTCCTCGCAAAAGTGAGGGAATTAATGCTGGTGGGTATCTGTATGCGAGAAGGCGCCGAGAGAATACGCTACAACAATTGAATGGGAGTGGTTTAATAATAAAACCTAATGTCCCTCTTTTCTTGTTTTAATCCCCGAGTTATCATTTGACCTCGGTGGTGTTTTGAGTCAAAATTGCTCTTGGGCATTGTCTGACCATGGCCTACAAGATTCTTGGCGCGCAAAGCTTTTTTACGGCCAATACATTCGTTGGAAGAGACTCTCACAAAGGCAAAAATGGCTCGCGCTTGTTTCCGTCGCGGTGGCGCTCGGTACAGAGCAGGAAATCAACATAATTGGACTTAAAATGCGTTCGTTTACCCGCTTTACCCTCGTTGCACCTCACCACAACTCATAATATTTTTCTTAAGGAATTTTTAGGTTCAAATCAGAATGTTGTTCTCTTGCTCTGTGTGTGTACTTAATTTTACACGTCGTTTCCTTTCTGTCATTTTCGCGTTACTCTCAAGCGTTTTTCGGACACCGTCTCGCCATGAATTAATTTGATATTGGCATGTCTTTGACGGCTACGGCACTTTCGCCGCAGTGAAATTTTCTGCGACAATCTCTCCCAATGTTTACTGATGATCAGGGCCAGCTTGCGAGAAACCGCATCTTAGCAAAGGCTGGACGAAAGAAAGCACTGCCAGAGACAGAGCACCAGCTGAGCAGCACTCGAATCGCGTCTCAACGCGCTCCCGGGCTTCAGACTTCGCAGTGTTAAAGAAAATAGAGCTTTGTACCGCGTGAACACATGTAAGGTTTGACATCCGAAGACCGGCTCTGTATCGGCAGCACCGTCTTGCGGGGCTCGGAAGAAGCTGTGATGTACGCTCCCTCTGCTGGGCGAACGAGCGTTTGGGATGGCCGGATGATAGCTTTGTGCGCCAAGAATATCAGATTCGTTAAGTTCTCGTGGTTGAATCTCAAAGCATTCCGCAGAGGACAAAACGCCGTCTCTTCCGAAAACAGTGGCTAGGTGGCGAAAACCACCGCCCAGTTTTAAAGGGTTCAGGCGTATGCATCGATCCAGCGAAACGCGTGTTCGAAGTCTGCAAAAGAGCACCTTGGTGACGGCGATGATGCTGATGTTGGTTGAATAGGACGTGAGTCCGCAGCCCCCGCCCCAGAGGCCAGCAGCGATGCAGCCGATGCCCTCCATCCATATGCCCCGGTTGATGGCGTGCGTCGGCGGCGTGGGCACCTGCGAGAGCCTGGCGCACGCGTAGTAGTCGCCCACGGACTCCACCACCGAAGACAAGATGGCGGACAGCATGCCGAGCACCACGCTGATTGACACGCGCGGCATGCCGAACTGTCCTGCGTGGCAGGGGAATGGAATGGTGTAAGGAATTGTCAAGCTCGATGGTATACCTCTCGCGGACAACTTTCTGCGCCATTTTGAAAGAAGGGAAGAGTGGGCGTGCAGGGCTTTGCTTGGGTTTGCTCGGCGCTCAAGGTGCGCGAGCACTCGTGCGCCCGTAGCTTTGACTGCATAGCCACAGAAGGTTGTCCGCGAGCATAGGGAGTATTCACTGGCGGCCATAGCTCTGTGCGCGAATGCTCAGCGCGTGCTGATGGCGAGCTTCCACGGTTCTTTTGCAACGTGCATTTCGCACCATCAAGTATGCCGGTCTTAGCAGCCTATTGATGTGAGCTCGTTCTGAGCATGCGCTCTAAACAGCACCCACAAATATGGCGTCCAGTGAACACTCCCTATAGAATGACGTTGTACGTAAAATGTGTACCGATGTTTCTTAAACTTGTCGATTTAAAACGATGCGAACACGCCTGTATACTTTTCCTTCGAAAGACGATAATTCGGCACAGCTCCTTACGGTACACTATTTCGGGAATCAAACACCATGGACATTCGGTCAAACATAATTAAACTAGAACAAATATTATTTATAAAAATTATCGACTAATATTAGTCATGCGATACGCGATGCTGATGTTATAAAATTGAGCGAACAAAGAGAAAAATAATGTTTACACAATGTGCGCCCGAATGTAACCCCGGCTTTCCCTAAATAAGTTTTTAGGCGACTACCGAAATTTTGTTTGTTATATTTTGGTCACGTGGTTTCCAGTCGTCCTGGTGCATATAATATTTCGTTTCACGAGTGATTGGAAAAAGCTAAATTAGTTTTGTTTTATAGTTTTTCATTACATGTAAGTGCGCTGTTGCGTGAAAGGTTGGTCCTGTGTCGAGCTGCTTCAGAGTAGAATTTCTCCTATAATACCCCAATTTTTGAATATCCCATTTTCTCAATTTGTATTTACGGTAAAACAAAAAGCGCATTTACTATGATAATGTTATTAAACAGCCATTGATCTTTCCAGATCCTTAGCAAGTACGGTTAGGATTTGGCAAGTCTTTTAAAAACAAACAAAACAAAAAAACGCATATACTTTGTTTGAGTAAAACGATGCCTTGAACACCGACTCTGATCGGTTTCATTATCGTACGCATTGCAGCATATGTGAAAAAACAAACAAACTATGAAATAACATTACTGGAGCCTCAAATGACGTTTTCACGCACTTTCTCATCCATGACTCAAGAAAAAATGTCGCCACATCGAACGTTACTTTAACTTTGCTTCCACGTGGCATTAGCCGCCAAGACAGATCGCTAATAGGGTCTTACCAAATAAGATGAGCAAAATATCTCAGTTGCACGAGGCAGATATCATCATGAATTTAGCGGTGAAGCTTTGAGGTATCAGGTTTATGAATAAGGGACTGCGTCTCTTGGCGGCTCGCTCGACGCTAATTCAACAGACAAGTGGCTGATGGTGCCGGCCACAGAAGTTATTTGACTTTGGTTTTTGATCGGATCCAATAGTTTGTATATACGCTGTTTTCCGTCAATATAACCCAACAGACAGGATGAGGAGGTAGTTCGATAGAAGGCCTTATGACACTTACCACGTTTCTTTACAATTCCGCGCACCTAAGACCATCGTAAGAAATCAGCGTGTTTTTTCTGCCACAGTACTAATTCGTTTCTTCAATAATATCCCTGCCAATATTTGTCTCGTGTTTGACGAAAGCGAAAGATCATTACCCACAAATGGCTCATAATCTCTCGAGCGATTCCGACCGCCTACAATCCAAATTTTGTATGTAAGTTCATCTGTCGATACTGATCCTCACATCGTCTGCGAAGAATTCAGATCAAGCTGATAAACGACCCACTGGTAGTCCGCAAGCGACGCCACAATGACTGTAGTTCATAGTAGGGAGGCGGCAGTGCACGAAATAACTCGTGCCGTCTCGTGCTCTGCTCGCTGAGACTCACAGCGGGGCTGTCGCGCGTGCAGAAACTGCACTGTCCCCACCATCATAGCACCCTGGCAGTTCGACGACGGAGCCATAGAGTACCCAGTCGCAGATTTGGAGCGCGAGGATCTGGTAGCACAGAGAATCAAAGAGCAATGTTTCAGGGAACCCGGACGTCAGCTCACAGCTTTTGCAGTGGCGATGACGCGAAACGTACTGGTTCGCTCGGGAGAACTGTGTTTCGACGTCTCGCCGCAGCGAGGCGTCAGTCACGTCGCTCTCCTCTCATCCGTTGTCTGCCGCTCCACCTTTTCCATTTCGGCGGCCACTTCTCGTGGCGATCTGCCAGGCTTTGTCACTATAGGGGAGGCTATGCCTCCATGCATTCTGACAGCAGTCACGTAACGAAACTGGTTACAGGCTCATAGAAACCGCACATCTGCGAAGGAGATCGATCCTTACCTGGGTAGGGCACCCGTATCCAGGGGCTCTTGTCGATGATGCTGGCACGGATATCGGTGCGCGCAGCGTCTCCCGGGGCGAGGTACTCCGTCTCCGTCATCAGGAAACAGGCTCCCCACGAGATGAGGATGGCCAACAGGATCTGCGTCCGACACATTTCTCCTTACGTGAAACGCGAACGATTGCGCTCTGTCGACAAATCCTGGCGGTCTACGTGCACTTTCCAGGCAGAACGCAAGTTTTGCCAGCACCTCCAGGATGCCAAGGCTGTAGCGGTGAATTTCTCGATGTCATCTACAGAAGGCCAATGCGAGTCTCAGACTGGGCACGTGTGCTGTGTCAGCGTTCTGCCTGGACTCGTGTTCTCACTGATTTAACACGAGTTACAGCCGAACATAAACTCAGCGCGTGTCCAACGTCTGCCTCGCGTTGGTCTCTTGTCAGATGAGATGAGGTCCTATTGTATTTCCTCAAAGGTATCGATACATTACATGAGGGGAGGAATAAATACAACATTCAATATACAAAAATAAAAGGTAAACACCAAAACATTGACAAATTTATGCTGATCACACTTTACAAGTGGGATTTACAAATGTCGCGAAATTTATTGGTATCAGTTTCACGGACGATGTGAGCGGGTAAGGAATTCCAGTCGCCAATAGCAAGTAAAAGGAGGGAGTTTTGACATTTGTTAGTTCTGGAGAAGAGAGGCTGAATTTTGGGGGTATGATCGCGGCGCTTTGAAATGTAAGATTCATCTTGAAGATAGAGGCTACGAAATTCCGATGATGAGTAGTAGATGCCGTGAAAGAAGACAAGGCGAGGTAGTTGGGTTCTAATGGCTTGGGGTTTCAACTCCAGGCTTGTTTTAATAATCGTGACACTCGAGGTTTGTGAATAGTCATGCATGATGTAGCGTGATGCCTTGTTTTGGACAGATTCGAGCTTGTTAAGAAGGTATGCCAACACCAGATTATGTTGGCGTATTCGAGTTTCGATCGCATAAATGCTTTGTAGGCGGTTAGTTTGACAGTCTGAGATGAACGGAAAAAGGTTGCGTTTGATGTATCCGAGAGATTTATATGCACATAAAACGGTATTATTGATATGATCGTTCCAAGTGAGGCCCTCTGGAATAATTACTCCTAAGTACTTGTATGTTTGAACTTAATCTATGTCTACGTGATTATTGTTATGCTTACTTGGCGTGGAAGAAGGCTGACTGGCAAATGTTATAAATCCTGTTTTGTCTGTCTTCAGTCTCAGTTGCCATGTACTGCACCAAAGCGAAATCACGTTGAGGTCTTGCTAGAGCAGTGTTAGATTGGTTGGCGATGCGCCGGTAGATAACACAGTCGTCTGCAATATAGTTTTATGGAGTCTTATGGGGGGGGGGGGGGGGGGGGGGAGGGGCACGGGGACGCCGAAAATTCAACACTACGGCATTGCTGTGTAGGTGGTGTCGGTGCTGCTCGGGGTGCAAGAAATTCGCTCGCGGAGCCCCGCTGACAACCAGCCCATATCTTCAATCTATAAAACTCCCAATTTAAAAACAATTTTTTTTTTTTGCAAGGACTATTTGACGATAGGCGCTCTCACAAGTCCAAATTCGAGGATGATGAAACAATTTTCGAGTAGTACAGTTTTAGTCGATCAAACGTCGTTCACGACAAAAGAAGGAATGAACTGATACTTTCTTGTTATCAGAGTAACGTAAAACAAATTAGATTATCTTTATCCGCTTCCAACGGATCAAAACATGAAGAGCCCGAGCTCGTGATTTCAAAAGAGCGCCCACTTTACAAGCTCCTTCAGCTGCTCCGTTCAAAATTTCCCTGATTATGTTCCCGGCGTTACCTCGAATCGGGATGAAAGGATTAATCAGGGGAAGAAGAGACCAACGGGACCATTGTCGGGAATCTTTGGTCATGAAAGGAATTTGAGCGTATACGCGGTTACAAACACTAAGGATTTCTGCTCCGATCTCTCGTATATACCAGAACCAGCACAACGCAAGACCGGCACGAAAGAGCGCTGAAGTACAACAAAAAACAAATGCGAAGAAACCGAACTTCGATGAATACTTGTATGCCTCAATTTCGTATTTAAGAATTCTCTTACGCGACGGCTTTCACCGCTATAAGCTGTCCAGCGAAGAATTGTCTTTACACGAACGATTCTACAACATTTAAAATGAGAGAATTTCAAATCCCGTATACTCCAATCCAAGTAAGGGGAAAGAACTGTCGTCTTTTTTCTTCTTCCTTATTTGGATTGTGGTATACGGGGGCGATAAGCGTAAGAAAAAGGGTCGGTTTTTTGTTTTGTTTTTACGCTTTTTCTTTTAACCCCCATCATTTTGGATGCGGCGGCGTCCGATACATATATATATATATCTAAAATGTTCGCTATAGCATTCGGGCGCAGTCTACGCTACGATAAACCCGCCTCCGCCAGTCGCGTTTTTGGGGAGCCCGGGGCGATACGTGTTCGGAATAGGCTGCAACATAATTGCGCAGTTGGAGGCGTGTCGTTTCCTTCGTTTTCTCTATTCCGTCTTTCGTTATTTATTTTGCGGGCAGGTCGGAAGAAATTGTCGCCGGAAGGTTGGTGGTGTAAGTTTCGTGGACGCTGGAATTTCGGGAGGCTTTCATCGCTGCCTTTTGTGCCCACGATTCCCATGCGGCGCGATGCGGGAAACGGAATCGGATGCGGAGTTTCGCGCTGCCCGCCTCTGCCCACAAACGGCTGACCTGTTTCTTGCGTCTGTCCGCCGGCCCAATTTTATAGTGCCGGTCGATCGGAATCAAGTTTTGGCGGGGCGCGTTACACTCAATCAGGTTACTGGAAAATCAGGGACAGTCCAATGTTTATTTCATGGCACGAAGAATGAGGTTATTATATCTGGAAACGGGCTACCTAAAAAACAAAAAGAAAAAAAGAAAAAGAAAACTTGAGATTAGATTGACTGTACAAAACGAAGACTTGGTGCGTCATTATGTGGTAATGTCTTCGTACCTTTAGCCTTGCGTCGGAGAAGTTGGACGATAAATTTCATTTTTTTAAGGATATGAACCCGCGGAGAACATTGTTACTAGTTTGCGGCAAACAGAATAATCTTGACGGCCTTCTCACTCTACACTTTTGTAACAAAAAAAAAAAAAATCTGGACGACGAATTAAAAAAAAAAAATTTGTTATTAATGGCGCATCGAATTAAAAGTGTATAAGAAAGTTATTTATTCCAATTAAAATTCAAAATCAGAAGGCACGCTTATTAAAGGATGCGGGGAGGATGGGTTGGGGGCTTACTAAGCAAGCGATTGTAAGAATATCTTCGGAGGCGTTTTACCCTGAGTATTTGAGGATTCGCAGAAACTAGACGACAAGTAGTACGCACCGGAAACAGTTTGAAGATGGCAAAAGGGCGAATGTGAAAGCCCTTTCCACGGTTCCAGGCGGGCACTGGGAGCGCTACGTTTTGGAAGTACTGGGAGAAGATGGTCATCAGGATGATGCTCCTGCAATGGTCGGGAGGAGGCAGACGATAACAGTCATTGGAACAAGGTCTACTGACCGAGTATATGCCACACCTCTTTGTTCTGTGACTATAGGTTTTGCTAAAAGACGCACACACACACAAAATATTGTTTTGCTTAATCGTTTTGATGTAGCCATGCGCATTAAAACATGGGCAAGCTTGACAGTGTGACGTCCCGGTAGGGTTGTGTTACGTGACCTGACGCTAAGCCACGTGGTGACGTGACGTAACTTCATGTTACACCACTACTTGACATTAGACGTGTGGGGATCGCGGCCACGAGGGGGCCGGACATGGGCCCGCGGGTGTTAAAAGGAGGAAGACGAGGACATCATGCGGCAGAGCTGGGGGGGGGGGGGGTGAGCTCGAGAATGCTCGGCAACGGAAGGGTGAAAGGGCAAGGAGCTGCCTCCAGATCGTTCAACTGTGAAACAGTAGATCCTCTGTACCTTGCGTTGTGAGATCGCCTTCGGGGCGGTCGAGGCGGGGTCTGATCGGGCCTTGGCTATTGTTGACACCCTCAGACGATACTAAACCTGATAGCGTTTACAGGGTATAGGAAGGACGACCAGCTCTAGACATGGTTTTCTAACGCATACCCCAAAAAAGTAAGCAAGAAATTTTCACAATGAATATTGTCCAGGGTTTGTTGCTACTGAAGGACAATACACGTAGTTCGATCCCCATGGTAATGAACATAAATGTATTTATTTGTACGTTTCATCCAGAAGAAGGATGCTCACTGCCAGTTAAAATACGCACATTTACAGTTTCCTTTCCGCCCCATTAGGCGGTCCTGTCGCTGTATCGCGTGACAAAATAAGTTGCCTTATACAAGGAAATGAAACAATATAGCGAATGCCAAGTAGGCCACGCCTTGGTAAAATTTTACGACATTTTTATTGTTTCATAAAATTAGGGAAAACAAAATCTCAGGATGGAAAGAAAGTAACCAAAGACAATTCAGAAACGGCGTGAAAAAAAAGAAAAGAAAAGTAAACAGCTGCAGCCTAATGAATACGACAAAACAGCTTTGCGAGAGAAAGTGAGAATTCTCAAGGTACGGTCGGAGGATTGGCGAATAAATCGTGACGAGGTGGATACTTTGTCACCGGAATGGGAAAACCGGACGGGAACGAGCGTAAACGCGGTCTATTTAGGAAGGATTAGGAACGAGCAAAAGAGGATCGATGTTCGAAAAGGGCAATCGGGACGAGGACAACAAGTCCCCCGAGCTATCTGGAACAGTGACGGCATACATACCGAGAAGTCGGGATAGGACTTCCGCTTTCAAGATAAAAGAAGGTTCAGGCGTAGTTGCCGGAATTAGTTCTTACGTGTACATCAACTCTGCCTCGTTGTCATTTCGATCTCACGGAAATTCCAGACTCCGAATGTGCCGGTGAATAAACGGTGGGAGAGAAATAGAAATATGAGAACCGGTAATCAAGAGACTTGATTTTACACGTGTCCGGTAATCGGGAGACCCGTGCTTGCTTCAGTGCCGGAACAATCTTTATTATTATTATTATTATTCTATGCGCACCGTCCAGTCCCTCGATTTGCTTCGTATTCTTAACGCGTATGCGCGTATATTAAAATATGCCGGGTTTAGTCGATAACGCTAGTGGTAAGCGCGATCGTCGTGTAAAGGAAGTCTCTATTATTCAAGAACATACGTCAAAAGCCGCGGCACGTGTTGAGAACATTACTGTTGACACAAAGAAGCGTAAAGCCGCGCTCACACTGCTAACACATCATAGAAAAAGACAGTCTGCACATATTGCGCGAGGCGTGTTTTTTTCTTGTATGACGGTCATACTGGACATACAATAATCTCTTATTAGACATGTTCGAAGTGCACATATATCTACCGAGCAGACCTGCTTCGGACATAATTCTGTCAACATGTCTGCGGCGAAGTCTTTTTGTGTGATATACGAGCAGTCTGAGTGATGCTTAAGGAAGAGCACTCAACATGAAGGCGGCTCCCCAGTTCCCTGAACTCAGCCTGGCTGCTTCTTCGAAGAGGGAAAGGCCGACCAGGGCGATGCAGGGAGCGATGCCCAGCGGTGTGACCCATCGCAGGAGGAATCCCACGATGCCTGTGAAGCCCAGCACCACCTCGAACATAGCCGACGCTATGATGGCACCCGAGATCTACGCACAAGGCATAGGCTTTATTAACCGGGGAATTTTCAAAACACCTTCGAGTAAACCATCGTGCAACAAGCGTGGCGAGCGAAACTTCAAATATCCCGAGATAAGGATAAGATTTAATCGTGAAAACTTAGAAATAGGAATGCACCGGCCCTCTTTTTGTAGCATGCTTGTGCGTGAGACCCGGCAGTGCATTCACTTCTTTCAAAACGTACACATAAAACAGAACTGAATTACACACCGAGGAAAAGCAATAATTTGCAACCGCAAATGCAAGTATGCATGCACAATGTATCGTGTCAATGAAGCAATGTAGTGCAAGCATTCGACAAAATATATCCGAAAAATGCACTGCGACGAAGCACTAACTGTATAAAAACAGTGGACATCATCTAAAAAATAATTGCAACCTACACAATTTAGCTGGCTTGTTCAAAATCACCAACACGCGACGTGAATTTCTTTAGCTCGACTTGATGTAAATGCAGAACTCTTACATTTTGTTTTTAAATTACGGAATAATTACACATGAAGGGCATAACACGGACGGCACATCCTCGAGGAGGGACAGGCCGGAAGAGGTGCTGTCCGTGTTCTGTCCTTTGTGTAATTATTTCGTAAAATATTTATCCAATACGAACTTGCTGACCCTAAGAAACAGTCATTTGTTTTACCTGATTTCTAGGTAATGGGTTAAGGTGTTCGCGAGATTGCTAAACGTGGCTGGAACTTAGTACTGTAATCATAATGTAACACCTGAGACTGTGGTGTGGAGAAATTAACTTTCAAGTCGAAGGAACAGACAACCGTAGGAGAACATTTCAATGTCTTAGGTATTAAATTATAATTAATTATCACCAGCTCGCCTGCACACTCATTGTGTGTTTTTTTTAAATATTGTCTCCGTATTTTTTCGTAGTTTGCATATATTTGCATGAGATGTTACTAAATAACAACGGCAATGCTCTGAAACCGACGTGATGGAAGCTCGCTGTTGCCACGAGCTCAGCCTCAACGAGCACAGTTATGGAGGCGACAGAATACTATTCTCATGCAGTAAGTGGCGCGAGTTGTGAGCTAACTATCCGGTCGAACACTGATGAAGAGACGACCAGGCAGAGCTTCGCACTTCTGAAGATGCCGGGACCTTAGTAACCCCAAATGCTCACGTGTTTACTCTTGAAGTGTACGCGAGGAGCCAATTACCACTATCAGTGGCCGGGTTACACCGTTATTACGAGGTCCCTGTAACGTTTCCGTCCAGAAATGCAATATGCGCTGGGACTATGATGATTGCGTTTCCTACGCGTTAAATTTCCCAACGTAGGCAGTATTTTTCGTTGAAACTCACCGCGCATTTACAGATCCCTCTTTCTAGATCGCAATAATGAAAGGCGGGTGTTCCTTGCTGAGACGAAGTTTCTGAACTATTTATTTATTTAGTTTAAACTTGAGAGCCAGTACAGTGTTCGGAGTACTGAGCGTTGTCCGGTTCCTTCTTTAAGCCGCAACCACCCTGATCGTACATCATACAAAGACATGGTGCACGCTACCGACATGAGGAGAGAATCATATGCGTACACGCCTCGACCACGTTCCGTTGTATCTTTGCTTCATAGACGTGTATGCTTGGAACATGCCTGCAGACAGTCTTTGTATGAGCACCGTCATAGGACCGTCGTGCAAGGAACACCTGAGTCAGAGTCTGGAGATTTTCTTTTGTATGATGTAAGAGCAGTGTTAGCGTGGCTCTAGGTCTATCATCGGTGTATGCTGGTTCCGCGGTATCAGTCTGTTTAGCGACACTGGAGCAGTGGCGATTCAACAACGTGAAAGTTCAAGAACAGGCGTCGCCGTACCTCGCTCATGCGCGTCTGCCACACTTGCGTCCACTCCTCGTCGGTGGCCGGACCCGTGAGGCCGGAATCGGGGGGCCGTGCGGCTACCAGCTGCTCTTCGGTGGGACATCTCCACTCGGGCAGCGCCATGGTGGCCAAAATGGGAACCAGGAACGTCACGCTGCATCCCTGGATGATGGGCAACCTGCCGCGGTTCCAATAAATCCGTTTTACTTCGCCAGCATAACGGGCCCGACTGTCCGAAGCCAAGGTTTCGGGAAGAGTATTAGCTTCTGCAGGAAGGACCTACGCATTTTGGCGAAAGCAACGCGGAAAGCAAGTCGCCTGCTTCTTACGACGGTGAGTTCTGAATGGGTTTGATTGTAAGGATAGAGGGTAGAGCAAACTGCTACATGCCTTGAGCTGTACTCACTCCTATTTTTTTCCAATCAGCCAAAAAGAGCTCGGCGTTCTGACCTCACTCCAAACCCTGTGCAAGATGCAGACGAACTTGCGCTCCACAAAACTGCAGCCACTCTGAGACTCCTCAAGGATCTCCTTTTTTGAGTTTGCCAGCCTTACGTCAGGTAGGCCTTGGATCTTCGTTGAAATATAAACGGCAATCAAGGTCGGTGTCGACGTTACGTGTTAATAATAAACGTAAAATTATACGGATGCGCCGTGCGCAAAGCAGTAATTTCTGAATCTACACTTCCACGGCTCGCGGACTTGAGAGGATATCAAGTGTTACGGGCTCACACGAGTGACGTCCGACATCCCGAACGATATCCGAGACTTGAACAAAAACATGGAAACCCCACATCATTTTCCACAGCCAATTTGGCCGTTCAAGGTGTGCATCCTTTATAGACGTTCTCCCGTCGTGGGTTCATTGATAGCTGCTCTGATTACCACTTTACCCACCTACGTTGTGGGTTCATTCATGAGCAGGCTTGTAGTCTTTCACGCACATTATAAACACCGATTACACTTCCGCTGAGCATGTATGAAGCAAGAATGCTTCAAAGATGCTTCTGGCGTGTACGCAGATGTCGTCGTGTGTTCAGCGAAGACCGTATTTTTCGAAGCGTGACTGCGGATTAATTCAACAGGGGAAATTGGGGGACATTATTTCTTTATACAAAATCCGCGCAAAGAGCACTTTTCTTTTTCTTTTTGTAAGACTGTTTTACGGATCGCGAGTACTCACCTGATTCCGAATGTGGTTTGAATGAGCGTTCCAATGCCCGAAATGAAGAAAATGGTAGAGATGAGGTATCCCCGGGCGGGATCTTCTTCCCTCATGCACAGGGCTGGTGCTAGGGCGAACGGGTAGCTCAGGGCGCCCGACGTCACGATCAGGTAATGCTGAGGGACAAATGAAACCTGTACGATTTCGGGGTCTAGATTGCAGGTGCTCGTGCCTCCAGACTTCACCCAGAGCATATCGGCGAGGAGCAGTCTAAATGGTGCCTTAGGTGCAGCCACAGACATACACACACACTGCAGAGGCACAGAACGCCCGTCCACAGACTACGGATAAATAATACGGGTCGGAATGAGGCACATGCGTTTAATGCGCTCAAAATAAGAGGTTATTTAAAGAGCATTGACACATCTCGGGCGTATAGGGGCTAATTTATTCAAATGTGCAGTAAACAAACAGTACCAAATTGTGACGACAATGCCACAAATACAGTTTTTGTTTTAAAATTTAACAGATATGTTTAAAAGAAGCCGTGAAAGTTACACGTATGCGGTTTGTGCAGGTGAGTTATACGGCCAGGGGGACATAGTATAGGGGACTAGTCGTAACGATCAGTAGGCTAATTGATTAAAATTCGTTAATTAACTTTTTAATCAATGAAAATGGACGTATGGTTCTAATTAGAAACTTGCTCAGCGTCATCGAAAACGACTAAATAAAATCCTTTTAGAAAGATTTGATGTCACGGCGTTCTGTAGGTACGCTTTATTGGGACGCGTTTCTGTGTTTCGGTTTCTTATCGTAGCGCATCTCTGAACCCGCGGTCCTGCTCCCCAGTGGCTGAGAAGCGCAACGCACGCACGCCCTACTTCCCACAATCCTACTAGGGAGCCGAGGGGGTGGCTTCGCGCCGCGACCACCGGGGAGCAGGACCACGGCCGCAAAAATGCGCTTCGATGAGGAACCGAAACCTAGAAACGCTTCCGAACTGGGCGCTTTCTCAGAACGCCGTAAAATTATGCCCATATCTTATATCTTCATAAAAAAGAATTGATTTAGTGGTTTTCGATGACGCTGAGCAAGTTTCTAACTGGGACCATATGTTCATTTTCAATAATAAACAAGTTAATTGACGAATTTTAATTATTTACCGACCGATTGTGACGATTAGCCTCCTATACCCTATCGCCCTGGCCGTATAACTCACCTGCACAAACCGCCTAAGTACAACTTTCCCGGCTTCTTTTAAACAAATCTGATAAGTTAAAAAAAAACCCGGTATATATTTATATTTTTTACTTTAACCTTTCAAAAAAGTCAGTGAGTTTGAAACGGTACAATACAAAATATACACAAAAGGCATAACGGTCTCAAAAATGTATCTATTTGTCAATAACTTGAAGCAACGCCAGTAGAACAAACCCTCTGCTGCGGCTTCCCTTAGATTTAATTGTCCATTCTCATTTTTTTAATAAACAAACTACCAACTGAAAATATTGAGGTAGTGCACACTTCGTTCGAGCGCCCACTATTGACATTTCGTAAACTTGAGGATTCTGAAAATTATGTGTTAAGCGTCAAATTTGACCGGACAAGAGCCCATGTCTAGATTAACTCAGTTTTCAGTGAAAGTTGGGTAGGCGCTTTCCCGGCATTTTACGCGATGTACCTTCTTTAAGAATCCTTTCGGCTCGTTTGAATAAATGCGTGCGAAATATTTACTTAATTTGCAGTATAAAGGGCAGTTACATAAACGTTGCCGAATCTGTTCACTTAACAAAACCGAGTTCAGAGTACCTACCAGCATAGAAGGTAACATTTGCATTCGAAAATATAAACTATATAAGAAAATGTTTATTTGTTTTTTGTTCAGCGTAATAGATGTCGTCCAAATCGCATGTCTTAATTTCCTTTTTTTTTTGTCCCTTCATACAATGCCAAAAAAAAAAAAAGAATTAAAAGTTGAAAGGAGTGTACCCTTCATCCTCCTCCCGAATGTAATCGAGATTGATTTAATCTATAGCACGCCCACATCTGTCCGCATCTCACAAATTGTTTCAGCGGCGCTAATAAACTCCCAGGTGCAAGCGAGGGCCCGGCCCTGTCGAATTACTCTCTTGTACGAGTGCTCGCGCGAGGAAAGCACCATTTAAGCCCCGTTTAATTCCTTGTAGCTCGTACGACGCTGTGCAGAATTTTTGAGGCGCACTGTATAGATCCATGGAAGGAGGATTTTGAGGGAGACGTACCTGTAAACCAAGCATGGCGCTGAAGTACCAGGCGGGCCTGTCGTCCACGCCATAGAACATGGCCTTTTCGGACTCTACGCTCTTGCTCTCGCGTACCAGCTTAGTCTCCTGCGGTTAAAGGGATTGTCCGGTCGAAACCGGAAGTACTTAAGTTTTCGCGCTCGTTGCGTCGATGGAGCCGTCATGTAGACAAACAACATTTTTATTTTGATATATGATCTCCCGGTTATTGACTAAACCTTTCATGAGCGTATGCACGAAACTGCACCCCGAATTTCTCCAGTGTCAATGGCTGACATCAGTAGCTGCTGCGTGACGTCACAAAAAGCAAAGGTTTGTCGGATGGTCGGGATATCAAGCGTTGGTTGATGGATGTCGTGTATTTTGTTTCGAAATATATAGTCTCCTAGGGGCAGTGGTTCTCAAATGGGGGTCCGCGAAGGCCTTATAGGGGTCCGCGAAGCCCGGCCTCATCAGACAAACCCGGCAATAAAAGTTGTCTTTTTTTTTTTTTTTTTTCAGATCGAAAAGAAATGTTTTATTGTTCGGGCGAGTTTTTTTCACGTGAACGTCAATAAGAGAGGTCTACTTCACACTAGCCCTTAGTTATATCCCTTTATTAAATGATCATTATATTTAACCTATACCTTTCCTCTGCTCTCACCACGAACGGGGTCCTCCATCATCTCCGCCGATCCACAAGGGGTCCGCGAAACATCCATGGTTGAGGACCACTCTCCTAGGCTGTACCCTACTGAAATACGGTTCTTTTATTGCAGTTCCCAAGCGTGTGCAAAAAAAGTCACGCCTTTTTGCAGGATATTACTCGAAAACAGCCATAAGCTTCGAGCAAATGTATGCCGTTTTGCGCAAACACAACTGTAATGGCCACCGATCGTATTAGGAGCGCTTGCAAAGCAAAGGATGCCGATTTCGCCTCTGAAGCGGCAACTAGCTACACGAAGCAGTATCTGGGCACACATATCGGCGGATCCACTGGATCGGTGATGAGGCTGCGGGTCTTTCTCTCAGAGGCGATGTCTGCGGGTCGAAGGCAACCGGCGAATCGTTCAAATGCATGTCGTCACTTGACTTGGACGAGCTTGGTGAATCGTAGCCACGCTCTATTTTCACATGCGGGTCAAACAGAATTTGGCTGAACGCGTGCTAAATACAACTTCTGGTATCGTTTCCAGGTGGTCTAGCTGTTGGTTTCGGTTTGGCTGCATAAACAAAATGATTGATCCGATTCGAGCGAGGAGTGGATGGACGTAGTTTAATATCGTTGGCACAGCATCACACCTCAGCGTACGAGCCTTCTGTCCGCTTAGAGCTCAGCTCGTAGCTCTCTTCTGTGAGATGATTGCTGCATAAGCGGAATCTCGATCTTGACGGGAACCCAGTCCCTACGCACGGCGACGATTCATTTTGCTCGTCACTGGACGTCTCGCGGAAAAGTGTGGAACGTCATGTCTTTGCTCGCATGTGCTGCCCGGTGGTTGTGGCACCCAACCGAGCAGCAAAAATGTTCCCCAACCACGAAACAAGTCGAGCACAACAACAAAAACGAAGCACGCTAAGGCTTTCACTCGCAGGTAAACGACGAGACAGAAATGCTCGCTTTGTGTTGTGTCAGAGCTCCCATGTTGCCACCGAAAACAGTGTTTACGCTAGAGTGCGATGGGAGCAGTATAAATTTAATTACTCATGCAGAGCGGTATATAAAATTCAGATATTGCACGTGCGATGCGTCTCAAGGCAATAACAATGATATTCAATACTTTTCTGAAATACAAAATTTGATTGGACCATCCCTTTAATAAAGAAGGCCATATTAGTGCACTGAACGCGTAGTCATTAACAAAAGAGGAAACAGAAAAAAAGGACTGAGAAAAGTTATCAAAGAGCAACGTGCCTCTACTTAAGTAACGGCTCGCGCTTGTTCGTTACTGTAGAGCACGTTTTGAGTCAATCTCCGCTGTCTGTGGGAGTTCAATCTTAGCGCTCTATAGGGTAGAGATAGCGTTTGGCTATCTCTTCAATAGGGAGTTTTCGTAGATCGTTTTCGCCGTCCCGCAAGGCCCTCCGCAATCCGCTACGATAGCGGGAACTCCACAGTCAAGGCTATTGGCGCGCAGGCGCAGTAGCAACTTCTTCGTTGCGGAACGCTTAGCGGAGGGGGCCAACGCGGTCTACGAAAACTCCCTATCGTGAAACACGCGGTGTGGGAAGCGCTATGCTGCGGATAGCTGTGGCACTGAGCACGACGTACAGCAATGAATCATAGAATCCTCGGCTTTAACGAATGAAAACGGTGACCTATGAAGCTCAGAGACGAGTATATATATATATATATATATATATATCCTTTTTTTAATGAAGCGAGAGCTTCATTAAAAATTCTTTCAATACGTTGGTGAAAGTGCGGCTTTCGGCTTTTGCGTTATAACTTGTAATTTTCGCATTGTCCCGGAGTGTGTATCCATCTATTACAGTTGTGCCTCGTTAATACGAACGCCTCCGTTTCTCAGAAACATCGTCCACAGTGAGAGCCGTCCATAATAACGAATCAATGTCAAAAAACACGCACCAACGAGCGTAGAAAGGAGGCTTTCGCTGTGAACCACTTCACGGACCCCTCTCACCCGTTTCACCGTAACGCTACAGCAGCCTCGAGCCAATCAAAGTGACGGAGGCGAAGCACGTCGCAGCGCCTACCAAAAGTACGGGGGCGAGAGCGTCGGTGGTGTACACATAACCCAAGCAGTTAGAGAAGAGGGGAAGGAGGAACTCATATCCGGATCCTCTTTAGAGGGTGCTAGAGGTCGCTTTGTCCCCGCAGAGGCTTAGCATGTCACCCGATATTTTTACAAAAGCGACATTTCTTCCGCCCGTGTCTTCGACAGCACTGCGCACACCCAGTGAGTCACGTGTCTTTCTCAAATGTGCTGATTGGCTCGTTTAGAATTTCGCCGTTTGCTAAGTTACGGTGATACGGAGTATTCGAGCCGAGGTGTTTCGGTGGCGCTTCCTTGTTGTTTCCATTCGTGACGTCACGACTGGGATTTGCTTTGCCGCGACGTCACAAGTTGTTACTCTGGCTACTCACCATCAGTTGCGACGACAAGTTCGACGGTGTGTGTTTAAAAAGCAGTGGGAGCTAGGAGCCGTCGCATACGGAAAGTAACACTGTCGAAGTTGACAGCCTGACAATGCTCTTGTGCCCGTGTTTTGGCCAATCGCGAAAAGTCGACCGCAGCGACGCTTTTGGTCGCACACGTCGCTAATGGGAGAAATTTAGCTTTGTTGGTCCAGAGCTTCTGTCCCGTTCCTCCAACAGCGACGAGGTCAACAGTGAGGTGACCACGGTGGAGGCGACCTAGCTACTTTAAGCCGGGGTCCCACTGCTCATACACCATAGAAAAGACAGTCTGCAAACACGAGCCACCGCAATATTCGTGGTTCGAATGCCGCATGCCAAGTTTCCTCTATGAACTCATTGCCAAGTGGCATTCGAAGCACCGATATCGCGGGGACTCGCCTTCGAATCTATGCAGACTCTCTTTCGTATGATATATAATCAGCGTGACCCCGGCTTTGGGGTTCATTTTCTTTGTTTCCGGTTGCAGGTTATGCACGATCTCAAACGGGAATAGACTCCAAGCGGTAATGACCGACTACGCAAGAGACAAATAAAATAAAAAAGTACAAGAAAATACCTCATAGGATTCTTAGAGATTGCGTTTGCATGACCCTTCGAAACATACGTCCCTTTTTGGGAAACGCTAACGCTGACCCCTTCACTTTTCTCTTTTGCTTGCTCTTTTTTGTTTTTGGGTACCTCTTTTTGGTCTTGGACGGGGTCAGTGTTAGCGCTCCCCAAAGGGGGACGTCTGTGGCGTTTCCCAAGGGTCATTCTAACGCAATCCCAAAATATCCACCACTTGATCTTCCTTTATTTATTTTATTTTCGACGGAAAACTCCGAACGTGCAACAGGACGATTTCATATTTCAGAAATAAATTCTGCTAGTGAAGTGCAGAATGACCGCATGCGCACAAGGCATCCCAGCATACATCAGTTGAGCGATCGTGTTTCACTTGACTGAACGCTCAATTCTTAGGTTCGAGGTGAGGTTTTCTCCGCATCGAACAGTTTTGCGGTGAGCTTTTCTCCGGTGAAAGTTTCTCCGGTGAGCTTTTCTCCGCCGCCCATGATGCTCGTTTTTATCGTGCGTGATGCGCGTTACAGGCGGGATAATGGGCGACGGAGAAAAGCTCACCGCAGAAAAGCATCTGGGAATACATGACAGCTCGATGATACGATGTTTAGCCCGATAAAAACGGGATAGGAGAGGGGGGGGGGGGTGCGGGTTATGATAATCAGATTCTAATTGCGCCGAGGGAAAAGCAGCGGCGGATCCAGAACTCCGTTTGGGGGGGGGGGGGGGGGGGGGCGCAAAATTTGCAAGGATACTATCTAATACTTCACTAGGGGAAATATATGACACTCCACTCATTTGCATTAAACGGAGCGATGGCCGCGCCGATTCTTCCCCTGGTAGCGCGGGATAAGTTGGGTGTGTCCCTCTCCCTATTTTTCTCCCCTCCTCTCCCATTTTGTTCTCCCGTCAGAACACATGACCGATATGCGTCACCGACGATGCCAAACGCGGGCGGGCGATCACGCGGACGCCGGGCTAGGCCGGCCGCGACAACTATTAATGGCCACCATTGCGCGACCTGTCACCGCATGTTGATGCCAACGTCCTTCTCTACGGATGACACGCGACGGTGTCCTTTTGTAGTGCACCAAGTATGACGCGTTCGCCGCTGTAAACAATCAGGGAAGATGGCGGGAGGGACAGTGTGCTTCGTTCTCCACTGTAAGAACCGGACCTTGCAGGACAAAGGCCTGTCTTTCATTTTTTCGGTTCCCTCCAGATGAAATGACGTAAGTAAACAACTTCAACGTCGCGTTTCTCATGCTGACCTTACTCAAAATGTGTGTGTAAAACATATATGATCCGTGTTTGTTAAATGCTGAGCTGTATATATTTGTTCAAA